ATCCAAAATCAGTGCACATTAGCCAACTATATCATTTGTGTGGAGAGGCTAGAACAATACACCCATATACCTAGTGAAGCTCCAGAAGTCATTGAAGGCAGCCGCCCCCCAGAAAACTGGCCTTTAGTTGGTAAAGTGGAGATAAGCAATTTACAGGTAAGTTTTAGTGCACTGGGATTCATATTTGACAGATTTTAGACAGATAACATTATAAAATTTTGATGTCTTGCAGATAAGATATAGACCAGATTCACCACTGGTTCTTAAAGGAATCAGTTGCACATTTGAAGGGGGAGACAAAATTGGTATTGTTGGCAGGACTGGCAGTGGGAAGACAACCTTAATTGGGGCATTGTTTCGGTTGGTGGAACCAGTTGCAGGGAAGATGGTAGTTGACGGTATTGATATATGTTCAATAGGACTTCACGACCTAAGGTCACGTTTTGGAATCATCCCTCAAGACCCTACTCTCTTCAATGGCTCCGTAAGATTCAATTTGGATCCATTGTGCCAGCATAAAGATGAACAAATTTGGGAGGTAAAGCTTTTTATCAGGAATTAAATTTTCAATATATTGTGCAAACATGGAATCTTCTGGATGCTGATGCACCCCCCTCATATTCTTGTAAAGGTGCTCGAGAAATGCCAACTCAAAGAGGCAGTACAAGAGAAAGATCAGGGACTAGACTCCTTAGGTAAAATAAAATCCTTATTCTGGAATTTGATATGAAATAGTGAATCTGACATACAAAGCCAATATGTACTAATTAAATATTGTATTTCCTATCAGTTGTGGAGGATGGAGCAAACTGGAGCATGGGACAGCGACAACTATTTTGCCTAGGGCGTGCTTTATTGAGAAGAAGCAGGGTATTGGTGCTTGATGAAGCAACAGCATCAATAGACAATACAACTGACATGATTTTGCAGAAAACAATAAGAACGGAATTTGCAGATTGCACTGTGATAACAGTAGCACACAGGATACCAACCGTAATGGATTGCACAAAGGTTCTTTCCATTAGCGATGGTGAGTTTTAAAATTTTCTGTGCCATGCGTTAGTGACCATTTTTATTGAAACTAAAGAAAGAGTTGTAGAATTCAGAATTTCAGAGCAGATTTGACAATTAGAGTTCACAAAATTAAGGCAAAAGTGCTACAGAATGTGTACTGATAGAATATAATGTGATGTTGCAGGAAAATTGGTGGAATATGATGACCCTATGATGCTAATGAAGAAGGAAGGTTCACTATTTGGACAGCTTGTGAAGGAATATTGGTCTCATTTCCAATCTGCAGACCAGTCACATTAAGCTAAAGGCAGCAGCAGCACAATAGTTCATTTACTACTTTCATTCTGAATCATAGTTCCACATTTATTTTGGCCAAAAAATAAATTTAGCCAAACTTAAATATTTAAATCTTGTACATATTTCAGTTAGGTACATGCCAAGATTGGAATTCTTAGAGATCAAGCTCCTGTTTGGCTAAAATTTTCCCCTGCTTCATGCTTATGTAGTTATGTTAAGGATTGCCATTTTAGAAATGTTTATACCTAGTGCAGACTATTCACGATTTTAGCATTTAAGAGGAAAATTATAATGTGAAAATTTTTGCACCTTATCAAATTTGATTAATATTTGTACCTTTTTGATAATCAAGTTTGATATCATTTCCTAAACTTTATAAGTATTATACTATTAAGGTGACCACACTAATCACTACAAGGCCGGGTGAAAGCTAGACTCTTTCTGTTCAATACAAGGATAGGCTATTGATTCAGAGCAGATGGCTCGTGGGTGTAAAATGTGACTAGAGTCACTACACAGGCATCTGCTGCTCTTATGCATTAGCTTACAAAATGGGAAAAAAAAGGCCTACACTAGAGACAATCTATATGGTGGCTTTTGGTGTGGTCATGAATACTTTGCTAGAGATCAAACATTACAATTATAAACCCTACCCTGAAGTCCTGAACCAGCCCCACCTGCTATTAGAAAGTTACCAGGAGGCCATCCTAAAAAAGGAGCCTGGCAAGAAAGAACTCACCCTTTAACATAAGAGAATGCATAAGCCCAACAAGTGCAGAAGCTGTATGGCCATAATAAGAAAACTAATAAGAACGCATCCCTTTCACCAAAGAAAATAAAGACAAAGGTGGAAAACCTAGATCAAATGAGAATGTAAAAAAAAAAAAAAAAAAAAAAAAAAAAATGGCCGAGGAAAGACAATGAAGACAAGTTGTAATATATTGTCATTTAGGTCTGTTGATAACTTCATATCCAAAAAAACAAAAGAAAAAAAATAAAAAATAAAGATGTGCCAAAACTACACAAGCAGAAGCAGTGCCAGTGGCACCACCAACCAAGATGAAACTACAAATTGAGCCAATTTGCTAGCTTTAATGTGGCAGCATGTGTGATTTCTGGTGAAGAAGGATTCAACCTTGGAGAAAATGTTAGAGTTCAAACATGATGCTTCACTTGCATATTATCAAAGAAAAAAAAAGAGGAAACTTAACTAAAAGTCAATTTGGAAGCCTTAAGAGTTGTTGCAGTTCAAGTCATTTATTTGCCATCAGAAATCTGGATTTGAAGTCTCAAATTAGAAAGTGTTATTTTACAGAATTTTATGATTCACCACATTCAAGTACCCTATTATAGCTTAATATACAAGTACTTCGTATATAATTTGTATTAAGATTACCAATATAATTAGTAGTTTGCACCTAATTTCAGGTGAAATATGATCTGCTTTTCACTATATGTGCTTAGCTACTGCATCTAATCATAGAACCTAACCTTAACTGATAATTTTGACACTTTTCTAGTCCATTCTTTCAGTGCAACATCAAAGTTCATAACGTCTTAGCCTATGTAGGAATTGAACCTACATCTTTTGTGCCAATGCACCCTGCTCTACCGTTTGAGCTAATAGGCTCGAAAACAATACTTCATATAATGGAGAAGGGTTTATAATTTTATAATGCAAATTATTCAAAGGTATTCTACGCCACAATAATTATCTTGAACACTACACATAAATAGGCCATCAAATAATAATAATAAGTCATACAGAAGAAGATCAACTGATCAAGTGACCATTATAGCCAAATGTGTTAGGAAGTCTAAACCCAAGCGCCTCCTATTAGTACTAATTAATGTGAACACTACCACTAAAGTCTAAATTCTAATTAGTACCAGTAATGAAGTGTGATGCTACTTAGTTAGGTACCAACTACGCCTAATTTATATCATTTGAGATTGTTTGTATCCAGAATTGACGCTAGCCATTAGGTACCAACTACGCACTAATTTATAACATTTGAGGTTGTTTCCATCCAAAATTGACGCAAGCCATTAATGATCTAGCCAACTTCCAAGAGTAATCACGATTAAATATTTACTTGCTTAGCTTAAATTCCAATACTTTTTGTATGATTGTCAGACCGTCTTATACAACTATACAAGAATGCCCAAATCAACCATAAATCCCTAATTCTACAATTGGCAGCACTCAGCAGTCTGCAGTCAGCACACAACAATCAAATTGCCGCCTACAAATCTACAATAATGTCGATTAAGAAATCAATACATAACACCAATTGCGGAGTATAATTTATAGTTGCCACAAAACCCTAAAAGATTGAAACTTGATTAAATTACCCTTCAAATTTTATCCAAAAACAAATTGAACAAACATGAATCTTTAATCACAAATTGAAAGTTTCCCAGATATAACAAAAAAATTTCAATGGTAGAGAAGAGAAGAAAATTGGGGTTACCTTCAAGATTGAGTTCGTCATGCCTAATTTAGTGGAGATTTTCCTTTAACATCCAAGCATTTGTACCAAAAGAACGGAGTTTCACCCAATTATTCTTGTAAAATAGAAAAATTTTTGGAAGAGAAAATAATTCCCTATTTGGCAGGCGGTTACTGCAAATGTTCGCGAGTTAGTAAAAGTGAAGAGAAAGGGAAATATCTTCACCCCAAATCCCCAATTACCAATTTACCATAGGCTGGAGTTGGAGTGTTAATTGAGGAGGGCAACTCGCTAGTACTCGAATTTGACTCGGTTAACACTCGGTCAAATTTCAACTTGAGTTGACTCGGTTAACACTCGGTCAAATTTCGACTTGAGTTTGCTCGTGCTCGTTCGAATCAGTTCAAAATTCGATAAGTGTACAAGAAATGAAATACTTTTCTATCTTTAAAACAAAAATTTACCTTGGCATATAATAACTTTAAAATAATAAATTAAAGTAGGAAAAATTTATATAAAGAGAACAAAATATCATCAACATATATGTGAAATTTAAGAGATCTAAACCTTTAAACGAGCAACTCGGGATCATCTCGGCTCGACTCAAAAATTAATGAGCAAGAGTCGAGCAACCCTTTACTCGTAATCGACTCGCTCGATTAGCACCCCTAGGTTGGAGGATTTGACCTTGTGAGTTGTGGGTAATATGAGCACAAGGTTATTGGCTTGGTATGATACGAGTATAGACGTATAGTCAATTAGTCATATTCTCAGGATTTAATTCTTATTATTTAGGTCACTTTAATGAAAGATATCCCTTTATCATTCTTCCACTCTCAAAGTGTATAATATAATCTAACTAGTAGAATCAAATTCACCTATACAAAGTTCAATAAAATAAATACTTAACTCTAGTTACACTAGACACTTTGATACAACAAATAAATAAATAAATACCATTAAAACAACAAATTTTATGGACAATTATTGACTCTTGTATGGTCTTTAAATAACAAGATCAAGATTAAAGCCTAGATCAAATTCTCAACTTCTCTTATTCAATCAAGTGATTCAAGTCGATGAATGTTGACATGCTTGATGATTTTTTCATTGAATACATCCAAATAGAAAGGCAAAAATGTTCCAAAAAGGTACGTGAGCCGTGACGCTATATATATTTGTCATACTTGTATTACACCGCATTACGCCAACAAATTATTCGTCCCAAAATTCAATTGGATCACGCTTCTCCCACTTAGCCATTTCATCAAACAGTTTGTGTGCAACAACAGTCACTGAAGTAGTGCTATATATAGTATTAATACCAAATCATGTTGACTCTATTCTCCCATTATTTTCTCGCTATTATTGCAGCAATCATTTACTTAATTGTAATTTGCTGCAATAAAAATCTTGTTTCTGTAACAAATTCATCAAAATCTGGGTTTTTGTCATCAAGATGCCATCTTTCATATGGGTTTCCTTCTTAATGCAAGTTTGTCTAATTTGGATTCAGGGTTTCTGGGTTTTTCCCTGTTTTTTCATTGAAATTATTTTCTAAGATACCCAATTGTTTTATTTAAAAACCTATAAAAAGTGCTGACAGTGCTGAATTTTTCTTGCAGGAGATAAAGACATTGGTGCCTACAGAAATTAGATAATTTGGCCTTCATTGACTTGCTGTTAGTACTATTACTTTCTTACCCTTTTAATGTGTTTTGTCAATTGTGAGATAATGCACTCGGGAACACAATGTGCGTAACGCTCCTAGTTAATGTTCTTTTCATTGTACATACATGTTCTTTCATTAGCTTTGTTATCAATTACGATATGTTCTTTTATTTTGAACTATATACGAGATATTCATTTATCGATGAAGATCAAATATGGTCTTGTATTTTGAATTATATATCTTTTAATTTTAAATATTATTTTCTTCTTGTCAATTGTTTTATATTAGACCCGAGCACAATGTGCACTGGTTAATGTTATTTTGATTATACGTGCATGTTATTTCATTGTACTTTAGCTTTATTGTTACGAAATGAATGTTCTTTTATTTTAAACTATGTACGAGGTATTCATATATTAATGAAGACAACCATGCTCTCATATTCTAAACCATGTGTACTTGATTTGTATTTTGTTTGTATGTCGTACCAGAGAATAGTTTTTTGGTTTGAGTTTTAAGTTTTCTTTGCACTATTGAAGAATTCTAGGCTGGTTAGATAAGGAATTTTAATTGATGATATTATATTTGTAGGTTAATTCAGAGGCTCTATAGAGGAAGAAAGACTACATAATATTGATGGAGGGTCTGTGGAATTCATATTGTGGGCAATCTAATTGTTCAATTATCGATATAGAGCCTTGCACTCGAGTGCCATTTGTGTTTGTGACCCATCCTTCTTCATGTGTCAATCATGCTTTAATCATTTGCCTTGACATACTGCTACTGGCAGTGCTCTTAGTTAGTGTGATTTGTAAAATTTCCTCCAAGAGAATCGAGCTATCAGCTCGTTATAAACGCTTCTCAAACTTGCAGATAGCATCAGCTGTTTTTAATGGCTGTTTGGGACTACTTTACATAGGTTTAGGTACTTGGATTCTGGTGGAGAAGTTGGGAAATGGTCATTCTACTTTACCGATTCATTGGTGGGCCTTGTATTTTTTCCAAGGGTTTACGTGGGTGTTGGTGGGATTAACAGCAAGTCTTAGAGGAGAGTACTTCCCAAGAGCCCCATTGCGAATCTTGTCCATTTTAGCATTTCTCTCTGCTGGGATTATTTGCTTCTTAGCTCTTTTTGCTGCCATAGTTAACAATGAAACAACAGTTAAAGTAGCCTTGGATATACTGTCTTTCCTAGGAGCAACTTTACTGTTATTATGTACTTACAAGGGGTACATAAATGAAGAAGATGGAGAGAGTAATGGAGGTACCCTTTACACTCCTCTTAGTGGTGAGGCTAATGGCAGCTGTAAATTTGATTCAGCAGTCCAAGTCTCTCCATTTGCTGAAGCTGGGTTGTTTGGTAGATTAACATTCTGGTGGTTGAATCCTTTGATGAAATTGGGTAAGTTGAAGACTCTTCAAGACGAGGATATCCCCAAATTACGGGATGTAGATAGAGCTGAATTTTGTTACTTGCAGTACATAAACCAGTTGAATAAACAGAAACAGGATAAACCCTCTTCACATTCCTCAATTTTGTGGACTATTGTGGCATGCCATTGGAATGATATACTTCTTTCTGGGTTCTTTGCTGTTTTGAAGATACTTACCCTGTCAGCTGGACCTCTTCTGCTGAATGCTTTCATTGAGGTTGCAGAGGGAAAAGAGGCTTTCAAACATGAAGGCTATCTTTTGGCCCTTGCACTCTTCTTTTCAAAGACCTTGGAATCTCTGTCACAGAGACAATGGTACTTCAAAAGCAGATTAATTGGCCTGAAAGTGAGGTCTTTGCTTACTGCCGCAATTTACAAGAAGCAGCTATTATTATCAAATGCTGCCAGGATGAGACACTCTGCTGGTGAGATAATGAATTATGTCACTGTTGATGCCTATAGGATTGGCGAGTTTCCTTTCTGGGCTCACCAGACTTGGACTACAAGCCTTCAGCTTTGCATTGCATTATTTATTTTGGTGCATTCTGTGGGACTTGCAACACTTGCAGCACTTGCCGTAATAATTTTAACTGTTCTTTGCAACACCCCCCTTGCAAAATTACAACATAAATTCCAAAGTAAGCTTATGGTTGCACAGGATGCTAGGCTGAAGGCTTACTCTGAAGCTCTTGTGAATATGAAGGTGCTTAAACTGTATGCATGGGAGACGCACTTCAAGAATGTAATTGAGTGCTTGAGGAAAGTGGAAGTTAAGTGGTTATCAGCAGTACAGTTGCGTAGGTCATACAATGGTTTCTTATTTTGGTCATCTCCCGTTTTGGTCTCTGCTGCTACATTTGGGGCTTGTTATGTTCTCAAAATTCCTTTGCATGCTAGCAATGTTTTCACTTTTGTTGCAACACTGCGTCTAGTGCAAGAACCTATCAGATCTATCCCTGATGTCATAAGTGTGGTGATTCAAGCAAGGGTTGCATTTACACGTATCGTGGAGTTTCTTTTGGAACCAGAGCTTCTGACTCAGAACGTCAAAAAGAAGAGCGACATGGGAAACTTAGATCATGCCATCAAGTTGAGGTCCGCAAATCTTTCCTGGGAAAAAAATTCATCAAAACCAACACTAAGGAACATAAATTTAGCTGTTCGGCCTGGTGAAAAGGTTGCAATATGTGGAGAAGTTGGCTCAGGAAAATCAACATTACTGGCAGCAATTCTTGGAGAAGTACCGTATATAGAGGGAACTGTAAGCCTCCTTAAACATTTCTCATATTTCTTATATTGTTATGCATTGTTAAAGCTTGCATATTTAAAAGGTCCTATATTTAGAAGGCTGCAGTAATGTTACATAATAAAATTGTTGATGTCTCTCATGATAGTAGTTTGGGGTTATCTAAATTCAGAGGCTGTTAATAATATAGTTTTTCACACAGGTTGCAGTTTATGGTAAGATTGCTTATGTTTCCCAGACAGCTTGGATTCAAACAGGGACAATACGTGAAAATATTCTTTTTGGGTCTTCTATGGATGAGCTAAGGTATCAAGAAACACTTCGCAGGTGTTCATTGATGAAGGATCTTGACCTTCTTCCTTACGGTGATCGGACAGAAATAGGGGAAAGAGGAGTTAATCTAAGTGGTGGTCAGAAGCAACGAATACAACTTGCCCGTGCATTATACCAAGATGCTGACATATATCTTTTAGACGATCCGTTCAGTGCTGTTGATGCACATACTGCAACTAGCCTCTTCAGTGTAACTCTTTGATCCTATCTGTGCATTTCTATATTTTTACATTCACAATTTAGTAACATTTGATATTTGAAATTGTCGCAGGAATATATTATGGAAGCTCTTTCGGCAAAGACTGTCTTACTAGTGACACATCAAGTTGATTTTCTACCTGCATTTCATTGTTGTTTGGTGAGTTAGCCATCACTTTTCCTAGTGTTCTTGCAGCCTTCATCTTTCACAATCGACATAGATTTTGTTAAAAAGGTTCAAGTAGTTTTATCATTCTTCTTGATATGCCTATGCATATTGTTATTGTTAATTCAAACACTGCTATCTTAATTACAGAGCTCAAGGCTCAAGAAGACATTAGTCTCTGACCTACTCTCTGTTATATTTATGGAGTCAAAGAGTTAATGTCTTCAGAGAAGGCTAACCTGATATTTTGTCCACCTTTCCTATTTGAATAAGATGGAGTGAAAGAAACCTATCAATTATTGACCATACAAACTATATTCTAATCTTGCTAGACTATCTTTGCATCGTACATAGTAAGTAGCAGATGGTCGTGGGTTCGTGGCATTGCAGATCATTTATCAACTAGAAACTACTACTTTATTTTCACTTAGATATGAGTTTATACATTATGTCCCCCTTACTCTGCTAAGGATAGTAACCTTGTCAGCTAGATAATGTTGATTGTTGAAGACATTATTCAAATGGTGCCAGTCATCTGTATGCATTGTACTTCGGAGCTATTAATTTTTTTGATGTTACATAGCTAACATTTTTTTTATGACTGTCATATAAATGAATGGTTTGACCCATACTTCAAAATGTCCAATTTTGGAGTTTACTAATACTAGGCATAATAATTCTCCCTTGTATCATGAGTCCTTGTTTTACTTTGAGGACTTACAAAGGGTTATCGTGGTCTTTGGTCCTTAAAGTTTGTTTCACTATGTCATTCCATGAAAACTTAATTATTCTTGGTAAATACTTTCCTTAATTGCAGCTGATGTCAGATGGGGAAATTCTTCAATCAGGCTCTTACCATGAGTTGTTAGCTTCAAGTCAAGAATTTTTGGACCTTGTAAATGCACACAAAGAGACTGCTGGAACTGAAAAACTACCTGAGGCTGGATCATCTGGAGAACACAATAATCCAGCAAAGGAGATCAAGAGAACCATTGTTAAGAAGCAATATGAAGCATCAGAAGGGGATCAGTTAATTAAGCGAGAAGAAAGAGAAGAGGGCGACACTGGTCTTAAGCCATACTTTACCTACCTAAATCAGAACAAAGGCTACATTTACCTTTCTATAGCTGTTATTTGCCACCTCACCTTTACCACAGGCCAGATACTTCAAAACACTTGGATGGCCTCTAGTGTTGATAATCCTCAAGTCAGCACATTTAAGTTGATTGTGGTTTACCTTATCATCGGAGCATCCTCGACATTGTTTTTACTCTTCAGATCTCTTGCTGTTGTTGCAATGGGCTTGGCTGCATCTAAATCCTTATTTTCTCAGCTACTGAGCTCTCTCTTTCATGCTCCTATGTCTTTTTATGATTCAACACCTCTTGGAAGGATACTAAGTCGGGTGAGCATAGAGTTGTCATTAGCTTCATAACTCTTATTTATACAGGGGTGTACTAATGTTAATGTATATTTTTTCCTTCTTTTCACCCTTGCAGGTCTCTTCTGATTTGGGCATAGTTGATCTTGATGTTGCTTTCAGCCTTCTCTTTTCGATAGGGGCTACTATAAATGCATATGCTAATCTAGGAGTGCTGGCAGTTATTACTTGGCAAGTTTTGTTTGTCTCCATACCAGTGATTTATTTGGCAATCCGGTTGCAGGTAAACAAATTAGTGTATAATACCTCAAATTAAATTTCACCACAAAAAGCTTATGTGTTGAGTCATCTAATGAACCAAGAAAGTCTATAGAATACATTTTGAATTTCGATGAAGTAGTGATTGTCAAAACACTAATTTTACATTTTAATGAGACAGCTAGTGTATGCAGTCCATCATATAGCCAAAGGTTCTGCTTAAAATTTTGCAAGAACAATTCAGAATTAGATATTTGAATTATATTACAAAAGATTAGAATTTAGGTTTTGAACATTCAACAAACTTGATATGTTATACCAATTACATATGTAAATATGTTCTACCAATTACCAACTCCATAAATTTTAAAAGTATTTATAATTGTATTATACTTTATTTTTTTTTTGCCTAATTTGCTAACATGTTTGACATGGCTTGGACTCATATAGAGCTTTTCATCCACCTCCACCTCCGCTTAAACAATATAATCATTGGCAAATTTACAAGTTGCCAGTTTTTCTTAAAAAAAAAAAAATTCCCTTATGCCTAATGAGCTTTACATGTCAACAGAAATACTATTTTGCGACAGCGAAAGAGTTGATGAGAATGAATGGCACAACAAAGTCTTTGGTTGCCAACCATTTAGCTGAATCTATAGCTGGAGCCATAACTATTAGAGCTTTTGAGGAGGAAGACCGGTTCTTTGCCAAGAGTCTTGATATAATCGATATAAATGCAAGTCCATTCTTCCACAACTTTACAGCTAGTGAATGGCTGATTCAGAGGCTTGAGACCCTCAGTGCTACTGTTCTAGCAGCCGCAGCTTTGTCCATGGTTTTGCTTCCAACGGGAACTTTTAGCTCTGGTGTGTGGTATTATCTCTTACGAAGTACTTGTATATTGTTTTGAAGTAGATATAGGGGACGAAGATAGATTTTTCTTGCTGTAAAATATTCCATTCTAAAATTATAAATAATGCAGGGTTTATTGGAATGGCTCTATCATATGGCCTTTCTTTGAATATGTCTCTGGTTAATTCGATCCAAAATCAATGCACATTAGCCAACTATATCATTTGTGTGGAGAGGCTTGATCAATACATGCATATCCCCAGTGAAGCTCCAGAAGTCATTGAAGACAGCCGCCCTCCAGAAAACTGGCCATCAGCTGGTAAAGTGGAGATATGCAATCTACAGGTAACTTTTAGTGCACTGGGATTTATTTTAGACAGATACTATATAGAATTTTTCACTAAGAGACATTGATTGCTTGTAGATAAGATATAGACCAGATACACCACTGGTTCTTAAAGGCATAAGTTGCACCTTTGAAGGGGGAGACAAAATTGGTATTGTGGGTAGGACTGGCAGTGGAAAGACTACTCTAATAGGGGCTTTGTTTCGGTTGGTGGAACCAGTGGCTGGGAAGATAGTAGTGGATGGTATGGACATATGTTCAATAGGACTTCATGATCTACGGTCACATTTTGGGATTATTCCACAAGATCCTACACTCTTTAATGGAACTGTAAGATTCAATTTGGATCCCTTGTGTCAGCATAATGATGAAGAGCTCTGGGAGGTATACTTCACCTATCTTATGTAATCTAATTTATGTCGTGCAATATTTTTTGCAATGCATGACAACTTCTGATGCACTCCTTTACTACTGTATTTTTTTCCCCTTCTTCTAAAGGTTCTAGGGAAATGTCAACTCAAAGAGGTCGTCCAAGATAAAGAACAGGGCCTAGATTCCGCAGGTAACACTTTTTCAGTACTATAAACTTGGTTATTGTCCTTTTTTTTGGAGGATGGAGGGAATGATTCTATGATATATACCAAAATGAGCTAGTCAACTATTATGCATTTATACTAAAACATTTTGATGTCAGTTGTGGAGGATGGATCAAATTGGAGCATGGGTCAGCGACAACTATTTTGTCTAGGACGTGCTTTACTGAGAAGAAGCAGGGTATTGGTGCTTGATGAAGCAACTGCATCAATAGATAATGCAACCGACACGATTCTGCAAAGAACAATACGAACAGAATTTGCAGACTGTACTGTGATCACAGTAGCTCACAGGATACCAACCGTGATGGATTGCACAAAAGTCCTTGCCATTAGTGATGGTTATTTTCTGTTTAACATTTCCAATATTTTCGTGGTCATTTCTAATCAACAAGATGCAAGAGTTGCATAACTCTGAATGATACTCTAGATTAACATAATGAAGGTAAGTCCTTAAAAACTGAATGAATTCTAATTATAGAATGTGATGTTATGTTGTTGCAGGAAAATTGGTTGAATATGACGACCCTATAAAGTTAATGAAGAAGGAAGACTCATTATTTGCCCAGCTTGTGAAGGAATATTGGTCTCATTTTCAATCTGCAGAACAGGCACATTGAACAAAAGACAGCCGCGATCCTTTCTAAATATATGTCACAATTTTTACAAACATCAGTTAAAATTTTGTTATCTTGTACATATTGCAGCAATGTAGCTTAGTAGATCATATTGCTGCTCAAGTTCAAAGTTGTCTCCTGTTTTAAGTGGCAACGACGAATTTATCAAGCTTAACCAATGAAATTTTGATTCACCTGTATTCTTTTACCTTTCTCCAGCTTTCTGCTTCGGTAAAGTTTTCGCTATATATTTCAGATATGCTGCCGTATGCCTGTATGTTGTGACTACTGTATTATACTATGTAATAAGTTACATTATTAATGCTCCATTGTTTTACAATTGTGCTTTACTTGGTTAGTAATACTTTTTAGACTTGTAAGTATTGTTTGGGTCTAATTTAGTCCAACTGGGCCTAATCAGTAAATGATCCAATTAAAAGCCCAAGGTCAAGGTTCAACTCTCCATTTGTGCTAAAGTCAAGATCAGTCCACAAGACAAGTCAATTGGGCCAAGGCCCACTTCCTCCTTATATGCAAAGGTATAAAAGCCATCAATGTGATCTTTGTACATTCATATTCACAAAAGCCTCAAGCAATTAATTCTCTTGCATAGCTTTCTCTCTCTACACATTGTGCTGACTTTAGCATCGGAGGGGTCTTCCTCGGCAACACCCCCGAGGCTAGTTTACGTGTGTTTGCTGTGCAGGAAACCTTCGGCCCAACATCACTTGGACCGAATCCAGTCTTCACCACTTCATCGGACCTTCGGCAAGGTCCCATTGTTTTCATCCGAAACAATTTGGCGCCGTCTGTGGGGAAGACTTTCAAAAATCTTTAATTAAAATCATCTTGCAATCATCTTAGTGACAATGGCTAAGAACCGCAAGAGCAAAAACCTTCGTCAAGGAGCACGCGAAAGGCCTAAAACTCTTACGCCATCACCTTCGCCGAACCGGAACTCTTCCAAGGGTCCCAGTTCGGAGAGAGGATCATACCGGGAGGATTCCCTTTCTCCCGTAATTCACAACTCTCATCATAGACCGAGTCCACCTCGGTCTAACAGAGGTCAGTCCGATCATAGGACTCATTCAGTGCCCCAAAGCCAACCTTCGACCATCCGCTCTCACTCTCACACTCAGCCGAGGACCCCTTTGACGGGGCCCAGCTCGGAGGAAGTGGCGAGAGCGCTGGCAGTGCTCATGGAGGCAATGAGGGCAAAAAATATGTCTCCACCTCGTGATCGAACTCCCTCGCACACCAGGCATCAGCGGAGGAAGCTAGACCACGAGGGGGAGAAACCTCCCTCCTTCCGGGAGCTGGAAAAGTGGGAAGAGGACACCTGGAGAACTGAAAGAGAGAGGAAAAAGAACCTTCAATTTTTCAAAAGATCCTCAACCTCTCGGCCAGAAACGCATAAGAGCAGCAGCTCAGCCTCTCGGCCAGAATCTGCTCGCCGAGAGCAACCTGAGACTGTTCGCCGAAGCGTGCTCGACCGACTCGGCGGCAGGGAGCCGAGCGTGCACAGCCGCCTCTCGTTCCCTGTAGCCGAGGCCCAGACTTCCCAGCCAGGGACGAAAACCACTCCTACCTCTCTAAGAGGGCGGAGCGCGGTCCCTTCGGCCAGGAACAAAGGCAAGGCCGTTATGCTACCCACCAGTTCCCCATTCGAGCAATGGATACTGGAAGAGCATGTGACCACGGTTAAGATACCGTCGCACAACACATATGATGGGACTTCGGATCCGAAGGACCATATCGCCTCCTACGAGGGGCACATGCATCTCTGCCCAAGGTCCGAAGCGACCTGGTGCAAATACTTTCCCACCACTCTCAAGGGGGTCGCGCAAGCGTGGATCTCCAAGGGAGTAAAGGAAAGCTCTATAACAGGGTGGGATGACCTGTCCTCCAAGTTTAAGAGCAAATTCTCCACGGCAAACCGCCGAGAGAAAACCACTGCTGAGCTCATGGGCCTGCAGCAAGGGGAGACCGAAAGTCTCCGGGACTACCTGACCCGTTTCAGCAATGAGTCATCCAGCGTCTCTCAGCTGGATCAAGGGCTAGCTGTTTTTGCAATGCAGAATGACCTTCAGCCCGCGAAGTTCTTAGACTTTATGGTCATGCGGAGGAAGCTCTAAACGCCTCGGATAAATTCATCCGAGCCGAGGAGTGGAATAAAACAAAAGCCCAACCCCAATCTGGGAATGGGAAACAAAAACAATCGTCCGAAGGCCAAGGCCAGAAGACGAAAGGAAAGGCGAAAGCCTCGGAACAATCTTCGGCCAACGAGCCGAAGAAGGAAAAATCTGCCCCATTCACAGGCAGATATGAGTCCTACACTCCACTCTCTCTTCCACGTGCCAAAATTTACAGCGTGACAAAGGAGGAGCAGAGTTACAGAAAGCCGAGACCACTCCCAGAGTGGTATCAGCGAAAGAATAAAAATTAGTGGTGCGAGTTCCATGAATCACCGGGACATAACACCGAGGAATGTATCTAGCTGAAGGACCAAATCGAGGACATGGTCCGGAAGGGATACTTGAAAAAATACATCGCGGATTACCGCGAGAAAAAGGAGGCCGAGAAGTCAGCAAAGGACTCTCGGCAGGACCTTGACTTCCCCCGGAAGAACAGCAAAAGTGCGGAGGGAAAATTCTCTCCAATCAATGTTATCTCGGGAGGAATATGCTCTAGGAGGGAACACAAGTGGCACCTTAGGGCTCTGACCCACCAGGTGAACAACGCTGATATTCAGCCTCCTCAGTCGCCGGTGCCGAACATGACGTTCACGGCCGCCGACTGCCGGGGGGTAACATTCCCTCATGAGGACCCGCTGGTGATCATCGCCACGGTGGCCAACCACGACGTCAGCAAGGTTCTTGTTGATGATGGCAGCGGAGCAAACATTCTGTTCCGAAAGGCCTACAATCAAATTAAGCTGAAGCCCAAACACCTTACGCCGGTACCATACCCGGTATCCGGATTCAACGGGGCTTCAACTTATCCAGACGGGAAGGTAACACTTCCTGTCACCATCGGCTGCGATGAGGCAGCCAGGAACGTCATGACTGAATTTTTGGCCATTGACGCTCCTTCAGTGTACAACGTGATTTTGGGGAGACCCATAATTCACGAGATCCAAGGGGTCGTCTCAACCTATCATCAGCTGATGATTTACGTCTGAGACGCCAGCTTCCCCGAAAGGATCCAGGGCAGCCAAAAGGACGCCCGAAGGTGCAACTACCTCAAGCCATCCCCTAGTCGCCCAAATGACGATGAGGATGAGGAGGAGAAAGAAAAAGAAAGAGAGCCAAGCACAAAAAAGCCGAAAGGTCTAAGTGCTTCGACCGAAGGTTTTGCGCCCAAGGAAAGAGGGCCAGAAAAAGAAAAGGCTAGCTCTTCATCTGAGCCGAAAGACTCAGAGAGCCAGCCGAAGAAGAAGAAGTCTGGGACGCCCGCTGACATAGACAGCAGGCCAGATTGTGAGGAGTCCAGCCCATCAGCAATGGACATGGACCAGCAGACCGAAACGGTTGAGTTGACCGAAGGAGACTCTGAGAAATGTGTAACAATCGGGATGGACCTCGATCCGAACACCCGTTGTGAACTTATTCAACTCCTTCGGGACAACAAAGATGTGTTTGCTTTCTCGGCACCTGATATGCCCGGGATAAGTCCAAACCTCATCTCCCATAAGCTTAATGTTGACCCAACATGTCGGCCAATTAAGCAAAAGAAGCGGAATTACTTCGCTAATAAGAACCGAGACATCGCAGCCGAGGTCAAAAAGTTGCTGGACGCAGGCTTCATCGAGCCTTGCTAGTATCCAGAATGGATGGCAAATGTGGTGATGGTTCAGAAGGCCAATGGCACCTGGAGAATGTGCGTTGACTTCATGGACCTAAATAAGGCTTGTCCGAAGGATTTCTATCCCTTGCCGAGGATCGATCAGTTAGTTGACTCGACAAGTGGCCATGCCTTGCTTAGTTTCATGGACGCATTCTCGGGGTATCATCAGATCTTCATGCACCCTGACGATCGAGCAAAGACGGCATTCGTCACGAACGCCGGGGTGTACAATTATAAAATGATGCCCTTCGGATTGAAAAATGCAGGGGCAACCTATCAAAGGCTGGTGGATCAAGTTTTTGCCGATCAAAAGGGCCGAAACATGGAAGTCTATGTTGACGATTCAATGGTCAAAAGCAAAAAATCTGAGGACCATGTTAAGGACCTGACTAAAACCTTCGCCACCTTAAGAAAGCACCAAATGAAGCTGAATCCGAAGAAGTGTGTCTTCGGCGTGAAGTCGGGGAAATTCCTTGGGTTCATGGTCAGCAAGAAGGGGATTGATGCCAATCCCTCCAAAGTCAAAGCAGCGCTCGATCTTCCTGAGCCGAAAACAAAGCGGGATGTTCAGCGGCTCACCGGAAGAATGGCAGCCCTTTTGAGGTTCATTTCAAGAGCTTCGGACAAGGGGTTACCTTTCTTCAAAGCCCTGAAACTCCCGAAAACAAAAGAGCTTGTCTGGGAAGAAGAGCAAAAAGAAGCCTTTAAGCAGCTTCGGGAGCATCTAGCTCAACTCCCAACACTGGCTAGCCCAGCAGAGGGAGAATCTTTGTATCTGTACGTGGCTGTCAGCCCAGCCACCATCAGTGCAGCGCTGCTGAGGGAAGAAAACAAAATTCAGCAACCGATCTACTTCGTCAGTCATACTCTGACGGATGCCGAGACTCGCTACCCTCTACTCGAGAAAGTCGCCTTTGCAGTAGTGGTAGCTGCTCGGAAGCTGAGGCCCTATTTTGATTGCCATCAGATAGTTGTCTTAACTGATTAGCCGCTGGAAAAAGTTCTCGGCAAAGTTGAAAAATATGGTAGGCTGGCCAAGTGGGCTTTTGAGCTCACCGAATTCAGCATCAGCTACCAGCCTAGAGTAGCCATCAAGGCTCAGGCTCTAGCGGACTTCTTGGCCGAATGCTCGTACCAAGAAATGCTAGACAATGAAAAGAAAATCTGGACCGTGTTTACGGATGGATCCTCCAGCGTAAATGGTTCGGGGGCAGGGGTAGTGATAGCCTCTCCCGAAGGCAAATCCTTTGAGTATGCACTAAAATTTTCCTTCAAAACTTCGAACAACGAAGCTGAATATGAGGCAGCAATCGCTGGCTTAGAATTATGCATCTCTCTGGAAGCCGAGCATGTCTGCCTGAAAACAGACTCTCAGCTAGTTTCATATCAGATCAGTGGCAGCTACGAGGCCAAAGAGCCCTCCATGATAGCCTATCTTGCCAAGATCAAATCAGTCATTGCAAAGCTGAGAACTTTTGAGGTTCAGCTAATCCC